AGTGTTGCTGTCATCTCATCATTCTATTATGATAATATCATCAACATATAATTATAGAGTTGTAACTCTCCTTTTCTCTGAGTGCTTGATGAACAAAGTGTGATTTCATAAGTCTGCTTAAATTTAGATTTATCATCACCTTTTGTAAACGTGACAAACCATGCTTTTGACGATTGCTTCAGTCTGTACAAAACCTTCTTTAATTTATATACCTTATTTTGTCCAACTTCTCTGCTAAAATGTAGTGAGGTATTCATGTAAATTTCTTTTTCTAAATTTCTATACAAGAAGACATTTTTTATTAGTCAAAGTGGGTAGTTAATGACACACACAATGTTCTCTTGGCTACCGGTGCGAATGTCTGCTTGTAATCTATCTCATATAGCTGTGTATAGTCTTTTGTTATTGTGTCGTTTTATAACTCTTGATTGTCTCATCTGCTTCATATTCGATTGAGAAAACTCATTTGCATCCCACCGGATTCTTGGCCACAACCCAACTACTCAAAACACTGGTTGTCCCTTTGGTGTAATAGGTAGGAGAATGACTTATCGGTGTAGTCGATTCTCTAGGTCTTGGTCCTCCCTGCAACATCTCGACCAACTACTCGAAACACTGGTTAATATGCACTTTAGTCTGGTGCTGTGTTTCATGCATCTCTGCCATAAAGTCCAATAGTTTTGGTCTACCTATGTCACGTTGTTGTCCAGTTGTTACCATTTTTGCTGTTCGTTCACTGGCCCTTACCCTTGTTCTCAGCCATTGCAACGATGTTAGCTATTAGTTTGTCAGAATTGAAGAACTCTGATACCAAATTGTCAGGAGCCTTTAACATAAATTCCAATAATAGTTTAGGTTGTGAAAGTTAGAAAGAGAGAAATAACGGAATTAAGAGAGATTCAAAAAGGAGAAAAAGGAGGAGAAGAATAGAGTAAGAGAGGAGAAATTTGGCAAGAGCTGCTGAATTTAGATAGTAATTTCTGATTAAAGTTCTTCATACCCCGAGAATTAGGTTACATAGCCATTATATTCCTCTACCCAAAAATCTGGTAAGGAAATCTTGATGTAATAAATTGGTTATAACAGAAAGGGAATTAATCACTAAATTCTATGTATGAAACAAATTATTTTATTTCTCTCTCAAACCTAGACCACAATCCACATCAGACTACCCTTGCACAATGGTTGTACACCAGTAAAGGTTTGTTTAATCTGCTCTCAAGCCCATCCTTCTTATTCTGAGTTCCAGTCATGAAAGTAGGTTTCTTCAATATCTAGCTTGCATAGAAGATCCATCTTCCCGAATCTAATGATGGGATCCACCACATTATTCACAATTAAGAGCAATATCAAGAATTTGGTAGTCCTCCACAAAAACATTTTAGGCTTCCCCCACTATCATGCCAATCACCCTATTCAATCTCCTGGCAAGAATCTTGGCAATAAATTTGTAAGTGCACCTACTAAGCCTGTGAACCTAAAATCCTTAATGTACATGACATCGGCAACCTTGAGGATTAGGACTAAGAAAATGGATTTTGTATAAAATTCTTCAAAAGACTTCACAACATAACCATGGACAAATCCCCAAAACTTATGCTAGAAAGTCATAGAGAAACCATCTAGGCAAAGAGACTTATCCCTATCATAATTGAATGAACTGCTGGGACCTCCTCCACCAGGAAGGCTCTCACAATCATCTCTCTCTAACAAGTTCCGATCTTATCAAATCATGTCCATCTAGATTCCGTTTCCAGCGTTCCTCTTCTTAGTACAAGTTGCTATAGAAGACCTTGATTGCATTTCTTACGCCATTCTTAATGTCAACTTCTATCCCACTTGCAAGGGGCTTGTCCAAAAAGTTGTTTCTTCAATAGTAGTTGACCATACTACGAAATAATCTAATATTTTGGTTCCTTCTTTGATCTGTAGAAGTCTAGATTGCCTCTATAATCTCCTCCAGAAATGTCCACTGAGCTAACTTCAATTTTGCTAGCTGCATACTTCTTCTGAGAGTCCTAAAATAGAATCTTCCTTGTCAAGCTCCTCAGTCTTAAGGGTAATATTCTTCTTGCAATCAAGCACCTTACCCTTACCCTGCAAACTGGAGGCCTTCAACTTCTCCTTAACAAAGGCGAGTTTTTGGCCGCTCTAAGGGCTGCAAAACCTAAAGGATCTGTTTCTTCCCACCAAGCCTGAACATATCTCCAAAACCCACCTCTTTTAGCTATTTGTTCTCAAATCGAACTGGAATGGGACTACATTTAGTACCATGAATATCAAGACAAATAGGATGGTGGTCTGAACAGCCCAATACCATTTTGCGTCCCTGCTACAGTGAAGGGGACCCAACAGAGTGTTTATCCTGTCTGCTGATTTCGTCTACAGCCTGAATCATGAACAGCTGTTGACTCCAGGTTTTGGTATTATTTCCAATGTTGTTCCTATCCAGCCTGATGAAGATTGATCAATCAGCCTCCTTGAAAACCGTTCTCTAGTAGTTATGACATCCAACCCAGAAAAACTCACACTAAGATTTGAAAAAGCACCTGATTTTCTAGTTAAAAAAATAAGAAGAGAACTTTGCTCGACCCCATTCTCGGTGATTACAAAAATGTCTTGAGTCTCTCCCTCTAGAACTACATCTAAGGATTTCTCTCAATCACCTGGAACTTCCTGGGGGAGGGGCATTGCAGCACTAGAGAGAGAGGAAAGAGATGTAGGAGGAAGTTCTTTCACCAGTTCATTTTGGCAGGAAGGTTATCTTATCAAGCTTGTGATTCTATGAACCATTTTGGAAATCCTAAGCGGAATTGGAATGATGCATTTAAAATTTTTTTTTTCAAAAAATGGAATTTGGAATTCATTATTCTAATTTTATTTTGAATTTCTTATTACTTAATTTTTATAGTTTTACAATAGAATTTCATCTCTAACTAAGTATAAATTTTCAAATTAATTACACAGGAATTCTTAGTTTATCCTAGTCATAGCCTAACTAGAAACTTCCTTTTAGGTTGGGAGAAAAACTCTATTATACTCTCATGTTGCAGAATAGATTAGGAAAACTAGTTCTTTCATTTTGCCTTCTTGAATGAAAAGAACAAGAAGAGATGGAAGCAACAAACACCATAGATCAGATCAAGATGGAGAAAGTGTTTATTCATGGTATCTCAAACATAGAGTTAACCAATTCCTAGTTGAGTTTGTTTGGTGTTTAATGTTGTTAGTCATGGAGAGATGCATTATCCATTTTAGATAAACAGCATAGCACCAAGGACACTTCTTGTTGGCATCATTTGCACGGACTTACCTTGCTAGCTGACCTATTTCAAGAAAAAAAATAGCTTTGTACCAAGCGGCAGAATTGTGCCACTGAACAAATAGGAGAGAGTTTACTTTCATTGGTTGGTTTGACATTACTATATTCCTTAGAAGTTCAGGATACTTGATGATTTCATCAATATATATTTTGCATAATACAAGTGATGTTTTCTTTTCATGGTTATACAACCTCCATTGGACAATTGCTACAAGTTATCACAGGTTCTTTTGCTTTTTTTTCTTTTAACAAAAATTAAGATTGACTTTGGTTCAAATTTTAGTTCTATATGATTAGAACGAGAATAGAGTACAATGAGATAGAAATTTGAATGAAAAGAGTATTTTTAGTTCAAGTTGATTCTATGTTAATTCAAGATAGATGTTTTTCTGATTCTTAATTGATAAATGAGAATATAAATCTATTGTTGTTGAATTGAAGATATAAATGAAGGTAGTTTAGATATATTTAAGTATGTAAATGTTCTAAATATCAAATAATTATGATCTAGAGATGAAATGGGAATAAAATAATATTTGAACCAAACGCAATGCAATAGTATTGTTGTCATTGTCTAGATTGCTGATTGGTTATTCTCTCCATTTCCTTTTTTTTTCCCCCTCATTTTTTCTTTTTACTTTTACTATCTTTTTCTGTCCGTTCTGATGCATCTTGTTTGTGAATGTAGCCTTTTCAGGATGATTTCCTTACACCAAAAATGGCTGATGTACCTTCTTCCGGTTAGAAACAAACTAGAAAAAGTCTCCGGCAGTAATTAGGTAAGGTTCCAGCTGGGAATACGCTCTTGTGCATCATTTAGGAGAAAAGAAAGGCTGGAAATGTGGTTATTCGACTTGGACTTTCTTTGAACTGTGGGTTTGCTTAAATATTCTCAACCTTGAGATGTTGAGGATGAGAACTAGAGAAAGCTCATTAGTAAGTCTGGATCTATAATGTACTAACCAATTTTTTTCCATTTCACTTGTTGAAGTGCCATGGCACATGATACTCATATATTGGTTGCTAGTAATAGGAAAGACCACGCTAATTGCCGAATTTGAAACTTAGGTTTAGTAATCTTTGACATGGTCCTTTAGTACGATTCAATTTACATGCAAGAATTTTTTAGAGAAATTGTTTGCGTTCAAACCTGAATTAAAAACTGACATATTAGGTAAACTCTTTCAACCAATCGACCATCGTATAGAAATAGATTTTATTATCAATATATTTATTTGATTAATTCATATATACTTATATTCCTAAAAGATAGTGAGAGATGAATCATTAAGATGTTAGAAATGTTGGTTGTGGGATAAATTACTTCTATTATATTGCAATCTTATATTCTAGAAATTACATTTTCAGTTGTTACACTGTTACAGTCAATTTTAAAAGGAAATTTATATAATTTGATTTAAGACAATAGCAAATTTAATACAGATAGAAAGCTCTTATGATATGATCTTTTCTAAGATTTTCACTGAAAGGACAATTAGAGAAACTCTTATCTTCTAAAATAGGTTAATCATTTAATCATATAAATTTACTATGTATATATGATCAAATCATTGTTAAAATCCATACAAGTAATCATCAAGATCACTTAATTCAAATAATTAAATGAAAAGATCACTTAATTCAGATAATTAAGTGAAGCCCACAAAATCAATACCTTGTTAATTTAAAGATACATAAACATCAAAATCTCAAAATATATATTTAAGATCATGCAAAATTTTGTTACTGTTTATCATACAATTTTTTTTTAAAAAAATTAAAACACAAGATGTCAAAAACATATAAAATAAATTAGTTCATGCATAGATTTGGAATTTTAATTCAAGTTGAGTAAATTGAATTCTTTTATAAATTTTTGTTTTCTAATGTATTTCGATCCTTAATTTTTTTAATTTATAAAAATGAGGTTTTTTCTGAAACAATTTTTTATATGAAATGTAGATTTTCAAGTTAATTTGATATATTCCAAAAATTATTGTTAAAATATTACCAATAAAAAAGGAACGGTATGTGATTTATCCAAAATTAGCAAATCAGTCAAAAAAGTCAACGAGTTTTTGTAGGTGGGTCCCTTAGTGGTGGGTCCACATTGCTCTTTCTTCCCGCCAGCGCCAAAGGGAGCGACCAACGAACAATCCCTTGAAGAAAAAAAAAAGAAAAAAAAAAAAATAATAAAGATGGAATTAAATTAGAAACAATTATTAATGGAAAAATAAATAAATAAATATATAAAAGCGATCTAAAATGTAGAAGGTTAGATTCATACAGGACCTGTGTGTTATGGGAGGAGATTCGTCTCAGCTCATGTCTGCTACTGCTTCTTCATCATCTTCTTCTTTGCAAAATGGGAGGGAGGTTGATGCCGAGCCGAATACATGTGCAGGAAAGGAGACTTCGAGCTCTATTAGGACCGACTCGGAGTATGCGACTCAGAGGAAACTCATTGCTGGTTCTACTCCTAATCGAGCTCGGCGGAATAGATCACCCGGAGTTCGACTCATCCATGGCCGAATCTACGATTCTCAAAATGGAAAGAGCTGTCACCAAGTTAATTTCCTTTTTTAAGCTCATTTTCACAGTGTTGTCTACTAAAGCCGTCGTTTAAATTGCTTCTTAGTCTGTTTGGTTCTTGAGAAAATGGTGGAAAAGAGTTCAAATGATGAGAATGTGATTCGTCGTTATTAGCACCAAGTAGATTTTCACATTTTCAACCAAATCACCATGGGAATTTTTTTTTTTAAATTCCATATTCTTTTTAATTTTTTATTTTCAGAATTATGTTTGGTTGTGAGAATCCAAACGATGAAAAACTGTTGAATTTCCATTACTTTTCCTGGCAAAATCCAATTCCTATTTTTCAACTGAACATGTAGTGGGTGAGTGTGCCCGTGTTTTCCATTTCTTTGGTTGAAGTAGAAGAATCTACATATTTCAAAACTGAGATTTTTTTTGCCGGCCTGTTCCTGAGTTCTATCTGCAATGTGGCAGTGCCGGCAGAAAACAATGGATTTTGCGGTATCATGCAAGAGAAAGACTGAGGAGAAGCCATGCCCTTTCTATTTTTGTTATAAATGCCTCTTGAACAGGTATCAGTTCCATTGACCTTGTGGGTGTGTTTCTTGTTCTGCTCCTATAAGCATTTTTAGTTGATTCTCTTCCTAAGTTCCTAATCAGATACGGAGAAAACGCTGAAACTGTCGCTGCTCTAAATGATTGGATATGTCCAAGATGCAGAGGAATCTGTAATTGTAGTTTCTGCATGTAAGTCATATGTTTTTGAATTGATGGTATACCCACCTGTTTTCAAAAAACTATCTCTTGATCAGTTGATTAACTGAATAGGAAAAAACGAGGTAGCATGCCTACTGGTAGGTTTGTGCATGTGGCAAAGGCAAATGGGTTTTCTTCAGTGTCGGATATGCTTCATCTTCATTCTGAAGAGACGGGGATTGCAGGGACCGATCCTGAGAAGCAAGAAGCTTCAAAGAAGGTTTTTACAGTTTTATTCTTTATTTTTGCAGAGACCTAAGATATGGATAAAAGGGGAGGTAGGTCCAATCTATGGTTTGCAGTTCATTTGACACAATACAAAGAAAATAAGGATCTAAAATTGAATCTTTTGCCCTGTTTCCTTATACATATTTTGTCATGGAAACTTATAGTGCATGCATATTTCTTGTTGATTCTAATTTCTAAGCACTTGTGGCAGGAGTCAGTTACAGACCTGGCTGAGAGAGAACTAGAACAGAAGAATTGGATGTCAGAAACAAAGCCTTTGAAGACTAAGGGAAAAAGGGTAGGAACTAGAAGCAATGAGTTGAGTGTATCAGGAATCAGCAATTCTGGTGAAAACAAATCTACAGGAAATAAAGATGATTTATTTTCCGAGAATAGTTCCTTGAAGCATGACATTTCCAAAATGTCATGGGAGGAAAAGGAAGAGGTTTACACACAGGATGATGGTACCCAACTAGTTAAGATGGGTACTGATTTGAAGATAGTTAAGAGGAACTCTGCAGAGTCTGTTGAGAATGAACATAGTCAAGTTGAATTCACAAATATAGATGATGATGATGATGTCATTGAAATTATAGATACTGATGATGACACAATGAAGCATAAGCGAGCTAAAGTGTCCAACCACTATAAGAAGAAGAAGAACATGGTCAAAGTCAAACAAAGAGCTGCTAACATTAATACTCCACTGCCTCAAGGCATTATATTAAAGAAGGCAGCTCTCACTGGCTTACCTCCTGAAGATGTCAGTCATGCCTCGAGGTTCCTAGAATTTTGTGAAGCTGTTGCACAGGTAAAACTGGAATTTTATTGAGGATAAATCATCAACTGTCAAAATTTCGTAGCTTGCAGAGTCATGCTGTGATTAGCAAACCAGTTTCATCACTGTTTATTGCCATAGTTTTCCATATGCTTTATTTGGTCCTCCCTCCTCCATCCCTGATAGAAAATGGGGGATTCGCGGGGTGGCAACCTGAGTTATTGTATAGAGAAATTAGGAGTTTATTTCAGTCTTATAAATGTTTGACAGTGCATGGTATAGCATTTTCAATTTCAAGTGACTATGAATCCAAGTTTTAACTCTATTCAGTTATTTTACTTTCACCTATATGCATCTCTTGTTGATTATAATCAGTTAGCCCTTATGCCAGGAGCCTGAGGCAGCTCTGACTGGGAAGTGCGTGAAAGAAAATTCTCTTGAAAGACAAAATGATCTGAAGATGCAAGATAAGCCTTTGAAGATGAACGGAAAAGAGATAAAGATTACAAATAATAAGCTGAAAAGATTAGGATGCAACAGAGAAGATGAAAACAGGTCTAGAGGGAATGGAGCTGATTCCTTCTCTCTGAGTAATAGTCCTTTGAAGTTTCAGATTCCTGAAGTGGTGTCTGAGGAAAAAGAAAAGGTTTGTACAAGGAATGAGAGTGGACAGTCAGTTAAGATGAACACTGACTTGAAGATACTTGAAAGGAGTTCAGGGAAGTCCATCAAGAATGGCTTTGGGGAAAATGAAATGGCGAACAGTGTAGATGTTGATCATGCTGTGACCAGGTGTAAGCAAGTTGAGGAGTCTCACTATTATAAGATAAAGAGCATTTGCAAATTCAAGAGCAAAGTTTCTGATATTGATATCCCTCGACCTGAGGGCATTCTCTTAAAAAGTGTAGCTTCCATTGACCTGTGCCCAGAGGATGTTGGTCACGCTTTGCAATTCCTAGAATTTTGTGAAGCTTTTGGACAGGTAGAAAATATTGATTTGATCTTGGAACAAATCGTTAAGTGTCAAAACTTTGTTGCTTGTAGAGGTCAAATAAGTAACTTCCTTTTCATTTTCTTAGGTGGAATTGGAAAAAAGAGTAACATGACATCTCTATGTATTAGTTCCATAGCTATTATGCTTGTAACTGTAATTTGAGCTTATCATTTTCTTAAGAAACTCTTGTCGGTAGTTAGGTTCTCAATCTGAATAAAGGGCAGCCTGAACTGTTACTGCAAGAGTTGGCTGATGGACAAAGTATACAGCAGTCACATTCTGCCATTGTTCAATTTCACATCCAGTTGCTTTCTGTAATATTGAAGAACTCTGGAAAAGAGTATGTGTGCTTAATTAGATGTATCACAACTTCAACTTTTTATAATGTAAATTTCGATCATTTTATACAAAGCTTTGGTGCAGATTTTCTTGCTTAAACCAGTTAGATGATAATTCTTGGTTGCAAGCTCTAGTTAAATACCTCTCTGAATCCCAGCATCCTTTAAAGGAATTGCAATTGGATTGTTTTGATGTGGGTGGTGATGGATATGATCACTTAGATTCCTCGAAAAAGCTTAGACTCTTGAATTTCCTATGTGATGAAGCTCTTGGCACAAAGTAAGTGGTGTTTCTTCTATTTATTTTATTCATATTTGTCCTATCCATTTTTGCTGCTGCTTTTTTTTTTCCTAACATATAAATTATGTATTTCAGGGATTTTAGGAATTGGATTGATGAACAATGCTCAAAATTTGTTCAAAGAGAGAAGGAAGAAGAAAAAGTTATTGCTGAAAAGGAAAAGGTTTTTATCAGATTAGCAACCACCCTTGCGTTATATGCTTTATATCCTGTTTTGGTCAGTTCAGAATGAGGTGCTATTTTCAGGTGAGAAGCATGAAGAAAAAGCTGCAGAATGAGATAGCAAAAGCTGTCCTCATGAAAAATGTTGTTCCTCTGTCCATTGCGGAGCATGAGGATCTTCTCTTAAAAATAAAATTGGAAGTAGCTAAAGCACTTGAAGTAGTTCAAACTCTTGCAGGCACACTAGAACCAACAAATGCAGTGCTTCAAAGTAAGTTCTGTGCTGTTGATTTGTTGCAATGTGACACCCCAAAATAAGGTGCAGAAATCTCCTTTTGAGAGTGTCAGCGATTGCTTATTTGCTGCATATAAATGACTTTGACCACCTTACTCTAATTTACCCATTTGGTAATTAAAAAATAGGGGGCTTATCAAGTTCTTAAACTACAAGAAAATATAGCACTAATCAGATTATGTTCCTAATCCTTATTTTGTGGATATCATGAAGATCATAATAGGATCTAAGTAAGTTGTATTTGTACAGATTAGATGCGAATTCACGGAAACTAACATGCAAATACTAGAACCAAATTCACTTTAGATTATGTTTTGGACCCTGATATGTTATATATCATGGAGAGGGTAACAAGCTGTAATTAAGTAGATTTGAGGAGCTATTCTAGGAAGTTATTGTATTCCCTTCCTGTGGTGGAAAATGAGAGCACTAGGAGAGCAAAGGAATATGGGTTAAGTCACCCTTTATTGTGTGTGTTACTCATTATTGAACTATCTCCGATAATGCTCACTACATTTATCCAGACAATGGTACCTTGAACTCTCTGCAAATGCTTGTTGGAAAATTCGTTTCAATTTCAGAATTGAGATTGACTCCTGCTACATGCAATTCAAGAAAATTTTTTAAGAAGAGAACTATTGTTTGGTTGTTATAAAAATGTCGCATGCATCCTCTTGGGATTAAATTTTCTATTGATTTATCTTATATCTTTATAGCCATGAGATAAATTTTGAGGCCTTTGATTTTTATTAAATTACATAATAATATTGAAGCCTTGTTCCGATGTTTGAATTTCCGTTGGCATCTCCATTTTCGCTTGTACATTTTTGCTTGTATGCAATTCCACTGATCATTTGTTTATTCTTCTTTGCAAATGATGCACAAAGAGGAGCATCGATCTGATGCTGTTAGATCTGAGCCCATACTTTTTGATGGACATGGTGGCAAATTCTGGAGATTGAAGGGCTATACTAGTGAAATGGATATTCTGCTCCAAGGTTTGTTTTTAACTTCAATATTCCAAACCTTTGGAGGGTTCAAGTTTTTTATTTAAGCCTAGTTTTTCATACGTCTCTTTGAATGTACAGATCTTGAAGAGGGGGATTTTTTAATATCTAAGGAAAGATGGTATGCCTATGACATTGGGCAGAAGGCTGCAGTTGAGAATTATATGTCATCTTTCAGGTAAGCAAAAACTGTTTTATTTAAGCTCTTCCACATATAGTGCATTTTGATCTAAGAGTATCTGGGGCCCTTGTTAAAGCTATGAAACCTACTATTTTGTCACAGCTTATTGTTGATAATGGACTAAGAATATATATATATATATAATCCATGTTAATACTTTATAGATCATATCTTCCTTATGTGCTATAGGTTGATTATCCTGATCATTTTAGAAAACCATGTCAATACTTTATATTTGGAGCATTAATTATTGCTTGCTTCCATTTACTGAAGTTCTGGGAAAATGTAACCAACAGATTCCAATAGCTTAGGATTTCATTCATATTTTCGTGGAGGGTATACCTTCTGAAAAGTAACATAAGAAGCTTTCTTATTTGGACTGTTGAGTCTATTAGAATATATATAACATATATAGTCATATCCTATGAGGATAAACTTTTAGCATAATGATGTAATGTTTATGGTGACTGGTGGCATGTGCTTGGTTCTTGTATTCAATTTGGTGGTTGAAGAGGCAATACTAGAATATAAATAATATTCAATATGGTCTCAAACTAAGAGGCTAACTTTCGAATTCTTGCTACCCCATCTATGTCAAAAACATAATTTCACGCATGACATTGTAAGCATATACTTGATTTATGAATTCAATCCGATGCCTTTTGGTGTGAATGGGTGTATTAGTAATAGATTGGACTTTCTTTGATAGCTTACTTGATGTAGGACTAGTGACAATAAAACTACAATTATTCTACAAATAAAACAAATAGAGGAAAAAATTTATAGAAGAAAATACGGGAAACAGAATAGAAAAAGACAAATAGAGGAAATAGAGGATAAAGGCGAAGATTTTAAAGGGAGAACATAAGAATTTCAGGCAGGAATGAAAAATAAGAGAGACATAATATAATAGGTAGAGTGTGAAATAAATTCACTAGAAAATTATTCAATTCAAAGCTTGCATAAATTGTTAATTAGAAATCTTTGTATATGTTCTAACCTTAACATAAAGGGAAACAATTAATGGGAAACAAATCTAAAGATTCAAAAGTTTCTTAAATAACTAACCCAAATCTTCTAAAAAGTCGTATTTCCGTTTAGGAAATAGAAAGAAATCTCTGAAAAAGTATTATTATCATCCTTCTTATAGGCCTAGGAGTTCTGCATCATTACATTTTTGAGATAATTAGTCACAATTTATTATTTGATAATTTCATCGATCCAACTAAACTTCATTAAGCAGGACAAAATACCTTTCTATCTTTCTGGAGTTTATAGGAGGTCTATGAAATGGACTTCCCGACAGCAACCATGATTGTTAGAATCTGCCGAGACCTTGTATCTCCAGAACATATATGCTTTAAAAGATCCGAGTAAAACTGTTCTTTGATTTTCTCAACCTTCAACAATAACTAATCATTTCTAGGAAGCACACTTGATTTGCATTTTTATTATCCATTTTGAATTGTGATTTTGGAAACAGCAACCAATTATAACCAACCTTTTTTATCTTGGGCAGGAAGCAAAGAAAATAAGCAAGAAATCTATTCCTCCACGGCTCAACTATTGTAATTATTGTAATTAGCACTCTCTTCTGTGAAAAGTTCCGTTCTTGTTTTTCAGCTGTGAATCTAACTATGTATATGTTTGGCAGGGAAGTTATCATCTTGTTTTTCAGCTACTAGACTTCTTGTCCACTTTTGGCTACCTAAAGATAAAATGTGAATATGTAAATGAATATAATAAAAATTTGAGTTTGTTAGGAAAATACTGTAGATGAAGTTTCATTTGCACAAAGAAGTGGTTTCCTCAACTTTGCTGTTCAGCCAATTCAGTTCAATATACAAAATCTTTTCATACAAGATTTAACACCTTTTATAATCTAGTTCGATAGGATACTCAGGCTCTCACTCGAGAGACTCCAAGTTTAAGTTCCGGCAAATAAATTGGTTCTCACCCGAGAAACACGGGTTCAAGTTCCGGCAAATAATTCCATTGAAATAGCGTAAAATGTACTGTTGTTTCCTAAATTTAATGGGCAAAACGTAAAAAAAGACATCAAGAAAAAGACAATAGTACTTTTACAATAGAAATCTGTTATTAGTTGGTTGGATGCTCATCTATCACCCGAGAGGCCTGGGTTTAAGTCCAGGCAACTGAAAAATCAGTTTTCCAATCTGAGTTGAAACGCCATCGTTTTTATATTTAAAGCCTTTTTGGGAACATGATATAATACGCACCGTTTTCGCGCAAATCCGAAGGAAGGGAAGCCGTTAATAAGAAGAGCAAAGAAAACGCGGGAAAGCGAAGGCCAAAATCTTTTGAGAGCACAAGATCAAACTTGGAGACTAGTAGATAATGGAGGATTCAGGGGCGATACTTTGCCAAATCTCTACTTTCAAGGACATGCTCGATCGGGTACTGATCTTTTTCCGCTTACCTCACTCGATTTTTCCTTTTATCTGTATCTCTCTACCAAAACACTCACGCTCCGAGCTAGGGTTCTGATACGTTCTCACAATTTGAAAATTGGTCGCTGAAACGCTGAGAAAAAAAAAAAGGTCAACGAGGAAATTGAGGTGAATATTCAAGTCACAAGGGAGATAGAATCGGAGATTGTCAACTGTGCAGAGATCGAAACTTCTCTGGCTGTTAGGGAATCGGAGTTGACCAAGTCGCTTTTTATGTCCCATTTTGAGATCAACGGTTTACTCTCCGTTACTGGTAATTTTATATACGAGCAAACGCCATGTCTTCCTAGCTACTTGGTTTGTGTATGCTGTTTATAATATTTCCTGGTGCCTTAGCATTTTCCTCGAATTTGGACATCATTGAATTTCAGGAGATATTGAAGAGAGGATTTGAGGAAGCAGTATTTGCTGTTCATAATCTTTCCTGATATCATATTTTAACCTTTTTTTCTTCCTCTATTCTTCCATAGCTGCTTCGAGGAACTCCCTAAAATTTTTGGAGGACAAGCTCTGCCAGTTGAAAAAGAAGCGGGATGAGATGCTTAAAAGAAGGAGAGAGAAACGGTATTTATCAATGTCTTTGCATTTACAAATATCTATTAGTTGTATGATATGTGGTTATAATTTATTTGATTTTACATGTAGACATGAGATTTTGCATCATTGGTATGTAAACAATATATAACAGCCAGTTTTCCAGTATTTTCTTTTAATTTAGTCAAATTGAATCCATTTCAAGTTTCTCACAGGATATCAACTTTTCAACAGGATGTATTTCTTTGTAATTTTTGTTCACATAAATTGAATGCGTCTAAATGATTTTTTAATGAACGTTTTCTGTACCAACAGGGAAGAATTTACTAGGCTGTGCTTACAATTTCAGTGGGATATCAACAAGGAGAAAAATGATGAACTATTGACTTTATTGTCAGAAAGAGAGGCTCTGGAAAATGACGTTCATCTTTTGGATAAGAAGAATAATGCTTTGCAAAACTCAATGTTGGCTTTTGCTGAAGAAATCATTGAAGAACTTCATAATACTAACTCTGGTAAGATTATGAAATTATATTTGCTCCATTACTCTCCTTTCTTGGGAAAAAAGAAGCTACTGGCAAGAGTTTCTTGTGCATATTCAGCTGTCTTTCTTTCTTTTTTTTTTTATTTACTTGGATGTTAATTTATCCTCTGCATATTTCTTTGTTTCGTTTGCTATCACATTTGGTATCACACAAGAATTAAGATAATATTTTGAACTCCTCCATCTCATTCTGTAAAGCTTTAATTATGTTGCAGATTTGGGCTAGTTAATGAGGTGTATATTACTTTTTAGCTTATATTGGCCCATTAGGTCTTGGCTTTGGATTACTGTAGGTTTTGGGGCTAAGCCTATATGGTACTGTCAGGTATTTGCTTAGGAAATTAAGGAATAAGAGTACACTATAGTATAGTTTGGTTCCTGCCACTTACATTTGCAAAGATATCTCTCCTTTCCAATAAAATATTTATAATGAAAAGCCTTATTTGAGTCAAATATGCTTTTCAATTCCTAAATTAGAAGAAATCCTCATCGTTCACATAGTATCTCTCATCATAACTATCTCTAAAACATATACACCACAACTTTATGTCAAAACCAACCTACAGTTTAACTCTATTTTATAGAGAACAAATACCTAGTTCACGAAGTCAATATTGAATAGGAAACCTATACTGATTCAGATTCCTGAACCGAATATGAATATGAGATCAAAAAGAAAAAAACATCTTCTAAATCAAATGTCACAATCATCGAAAGTTTTCTTTCTCTCTATCTTGAATCAAATTCCATATTCTCTTGCTGATGAAGTTGCAACAATCTATTCTTGTCCTTTAGAAGAGGTTCTAGTGGTTTTTATTTTTTTTTTCTCTTCTTAATTTCATCTGCAATCACAAACTCCAATCAATCACAATAATCGGGGGAATCACAACTCAATTGCCAGTTTTATGAGTATTCATGTAACAAGTTTTAAGATTAAACTCCAATGGCAATCACAATAATTAGCACAATCACAAAACAGAATACAAGTTTTGTGGGGATTTGCATTAACAAACATGATTTAATCTTTCTGATCTACCTCCACGAGCATATCTCCACTCCACATAAAACACTAAGCAGATTAAAAAAATGATAATTACCTTTTGGACCCAATAAACCTTCCAATTCTTGGGTCATAATAAAGTTTCATCACTCACAGATAGGAATGACAATGAGCGAAACGCGTTTACTCAACTGTTTCAATTCAGCTCGATTAAAGTTCAATTTGGGTTTGGTTAAAATCAAACTCAAGTTGAACTTAAGCATGAACAAAGGCTTGTTTAACTAAAGGAGCCGAATATGAACATATTGAGTTCAAAATTTGGATAGCGTGTTCGGTTGTCCATTAATAAATAAAATATACTTTATTATTTACTAGAATATATGACATGTGATATATTTTAAAAACTTTTTAATGCTTTTCATTATTACCGAGCTTGATTTCATCTAGTTTGGCTTTGTTTGAGCTTGAGTTCCTTCAGGCTTGCCTCTGTACCAAGCTTTTCTTGTACCAAGCTGGAACTCTTTGTTTTGTCAGACGAGTTGATCTCAAGCCTAAAATAAAGTTCAAATGAGCTTCGAGTCACACTCGAGTCTTGCAATATTTAACAGACTTGAAATCAAATACTCAGGTATCTGTCTCAACTCAGCTTATTGCTACCTATATCCTCAGACAAGTATCATTAAAACTATCTGCACCAAAGACTCCACACTCAGGGTAAAGATCACTAAAACTATCTCCACCAAAGACTGCACACTTAGGGGAAAGCGAACAGATATCTAAATAAATCCTATTTATACTGCTTTCATACTTGTTCACCCAGTACTAAATAAGAAATCTCTACAAATTAGAAATTCTAAATCAAACAAGGATTCATGACAAATCCTAACGCGCAATGGTTTAACATTCTATTGCGTCATGATTTAGTTCTTGACACTTCCCTTGGAAGCTTATTTGGAAACATAAAGCTTCTCCCCATTCGGCTTTTATCTGCGGAAGGGGGGACCACCTTGGGCTGCATTTTAACGGCCGATAACTTAAGGAGAAGAGTCTGCGTTATTGTAAATCATTTCTGTCTTTCTTCAAGATAATGAATCCCCTAACCACCTCCTCTTATTGTGCTTGAAGGGGAGAAAGCTATGGGATTCAGCATCTAGTTTATTGGACATCCAGTGGGTGGTGACTGGATGTATCTCAACCCAGCTTCTCACTTGGAATGGTATCTGTGTAGCCAAGGGCAAGAAGAACATCATCATATTTATTCCTCATTCCTTTTGGACTATTTGGAGAGAAAGGAATAGAAGGGTTTTCTGAGGTCATGCTAGCTTTTCAAGAATTAGTTATCTTAATTGGGAAGATCTAGGTGACTTTGTCAATATTTTGGCTATTCTCCATCCTATCTCTTCTTCTCTTTTGTACATGGGTAGCACCCTCTTAGTGCCTTTGTTAATAATATTCTTTTTCTTGTAATCAAAATATTGAAGAAAGGAAGAATTACTAAAATCTTTTAGCCCTATTTTTTCTTTGAATTGTTTCTCCTTTTCTTCCCAAACATTAATTAAGGCTTGATCTTTTTCCTTCCATCCCTCTTAAGTCATTTATTTCTCTTTTAGTCCTCTATCATTTGTCACTTGAAAAAACACATATTTACTTTTTACTGAGAGAAATGATTTTTCTGTTACTATTGCCTTAACAAATCCTGACCATAGAAGATGTACTGGTTCCAAATTATCATTGTAAAGGGGAAGAGGGAGAATGATAATTCTTAGAATAGCAATAGCAAGCAGTTGCTAAGGCAGTATGCCTTTGGGAAGTTTCTGTTATTTATTCCTGTAGATTGACCTTGCCGCATGAAAAGGCCAATGAGTAAATATATACTACTTTTGAGAATTATTAATATGAAATTTTTAGTAATAGATATGAGATGGAGCTAAGAAAAGCAAATTCAGGATCAGTTGGGTCTCAAATTCACTTCATAACCCATTTTTTATCTATGATTTTGCAGCTAGATGCTTGGTAAATCAGTTAATTTATATACAATATAAATTAGTTTTATATCAATATATATATATATAATCTAAATTAGCATGAAAAGGAGTAGTGAGCTGTCAATAGGAGGAGATGAACCAATAGATAATGCCTATCTTTAAAAATTCATAAGGCATAGATATGGTCTTGCCCTGAAATGAAACTTGGCATAGATATTGTCTTGTGTCGAAATGGAGTTCTTGACCATGCAGGCGTCACTCAGATATGATTTCTATTGCTGGCTTAAGTATTTAGATTGGAAAAGTGGGTCACACGTATTATTCTAATACCATATGATTGATATAAAAAAATGAATAACATGCTTCCCATCTCTTTTGGCATGTTGAATTATTGCTTATTTGGAAACTGTATCTTGATGCGTTAGCTATAGTTCCTGCTGATGCAGTCTTCCTTCTCCATGGATTTTCATTTGATTTATCTATAGTAAGATCATGAAAGCTTTCATGGAGCAGCTTGTGTCGCCTTCGGCTTTTGTACTTGAGTTCATTATGAAGGTTCCTGAAGTTGCTCTGTGCTGGTTAGATAATGATTGTTCATCTTGACAGGAAATTTAGGCACTTCAATATTGTTCAGCACGTGAATACCTGCCACAACTACCTAGAGTTTCTCTCTAAACACGTTGTGTCTAATTTCTTTTTGCTAAGTGCAGCTTTACATGCTGAGATACAGAACCAGAATCAGGAGAATGAGAAATTGCTGAAGGAAATTGATGGCTTGAGGAGTGCATTGCTTCCAAGCTGGTAGTTGATATTAATTATTGGTAATGATCTTTTTGTGCTGGTTTAACAGACTGCATTTCCATCTTAGAATCTTATTTGGTCTGAAGTATGTTTTAAAATAGGCTCAAAAACATGTAAACCTTTGTTTGTACATATTGCTCCATTTTGTTGTCATTATTTTTAAGACAACAAAAACAATAAATTGAGCACTTTCCTACTAACCTTAAACTTCTAAAAAACTAGTTACAAGTTACTATTAATCACTTTGCGGCACATTATTGACGTTGATACACGTGTTTATCAGTTTTACTTTCTTTCTATAAGCAGAAAGGAGCAGCCAAAAAAGAAAACACTTCTGGAACTGGTATGGGTTGTACAATGGACCTCAGAAATTACATTGGTACATGCACATAGAAAAATGTTGGATGTCTGGTTAAGACTTAGATGCAAGTGAGCACCGAAGCTATGTTCAATGTACCTTCATGATTCAGTTCCCCAAGTATTTGGATATAGCTGCACACTTTATCTTGACAGCCTGCTCCCAACCATTGTCTGTGCCTTGCTAGGATGGTGGTTCCAAATTAAAAATATGGTAATATTAAATGGGAAAAGGGAATCCCACAAGATTATGATGTACTTATACCAGAGTTCCTTTTAAGTTAATTTTCGGTTTGAGTTTATTTTTTTCACTTATTACCTTTGACCCCTGGTGGAGCTGAGCTGCTGCTCGCTTCTTGGAAATACCAAAATCTGTCATCTTTAAACACTTGTCTAAGTGCTTTTCTACAGCTTTATAACTGCTAAGCGTGCATAAATTGTAATCAATGTGTTGCAAATATCGAAACTTCTAAATGATATATACGTCATGTCATTATCATTCTTCTCCAATGTTATTTTCTTTTATCTTTTCCTCTTTGTCTAAACATTGGTAGTCCTGCTGAAACCATTTCTTCATATTCCGAGGAGCTTAAATTTTGTAAGTAGCAGTTCAATGCTGGTTGGCTTTTGAAATGATACCAATGCCAGATCTAAAAATTCGACTTGCCATGTGGTCCAAGGAGGTCTCCAGTGGGTCAGGATGTAGGGTAAGGGAGGGTGCACGTTTGATGTTGCTCTAACTACCAAATGAACAATGGTAGTAGATATTGTTTCTATTATACATGATGAAGTTTATCGTCTAAAGATTCATTTGTTCCCATACTTGCTGACCTATAATGGAACTCTGGCATTATGTACAGTGCTTTACACCAAAATGTTTCCAGACATTTCGTTACCAGCAGCACGGTCATAGAATACAGTAGCATCTTTGACCAACAATGAACATTTCTTGCAATATGTGCAAGACCCGCACATGGTTTTCTGACACTACTTTTGTCTTGGTAATCAGATTGTTTACAGTTACTTGCAGAAAGGCCATTGACCATGCCGCAAAGCTTGAAACTGTTCACGAGAGGCTTTTTCTTCTATTAATAGCTGGAACCTGATCCCAAAAAAAAAAGAAAAAACTCATCTTTCATATGGACAAAATCCCCCATAGAACAGGAGCTATCAAAGCGTAATAGAGTTTTGGCAGTGACGCAGAAATCTGTTACTGGAGACACGGGTGGCATCTGTCGTCGTGTCATACCTTTCTGAACTTTCTGACTTTCCACAAGTTATGCCTTTACAGACCATGAATTTGTACTTTTAAGGAGGCCTCTGATATCTCATTTTCAATTAACATGCTGTGAAGTTTTTTTCTATTAATTTGTCTTCCATCGTGTCTGTCAGTAGTGGGTAGGGGTCGGGGCCATGGTCCTCTTGCCTTGCTCAAAACTTTTAGCCAAGTGTCTTGTTGGTGTTGTCACTTCCACGTAGGGGTCCGGCTGCCACTGACTTGGCACTGTAGGATTTTTAAATAATAAAAATAGTTAATGTAGAGTCATGTGTCAATAGTTTTTAGTTTGTTGCTAATCAAACATCAACTAATAGGTCAAATTTAGTATTCAATTCTTAAAAATAAAATTTTAAATTAAAATTTTAAATAAATTATAACGATCTCGAAAATTTAAAAAGAAATATATAATAATTTAAGTGCGGAAGTAAAATAAAATGTTAAAATTTACATCTCTTACACAATAACTTAAAAGTACTAAATAAACATTACGGAATGAATTCTCTAAAATAAACACGATAAATGAGAGAAGTAATAGAAAATATTAAGTATCTAGCATCTACTTGCAATCTTCTTATGGATCGGGCTCTGGAACTAAGTACTCTTGATCTGAAATGGTCAAATAAAGGATGAAATATACTAGTTCAGTAAAGATATTACACTATATCACTAGTACAGAAGTAAAGGTTGGTAGAAAATCAAAACAACTAATGAAACACTAAATTTAGTAAATTCATTTATTAATCATAAAATCATTTACCGTTCACTTACTATTGTGAAATTTATGAAAACAACCTATAGAGACAATAATACCATACAGATCATAACTTCATGAACAATCAGTAATATAGAACATATTATAAATTTATATTTATTAACAATAAACCAAATCATAACCGTTTATCGTTTTACCAGCCTACTAGTATCCATGGGGATTCATGGGGGTGTCACCGCTACACGTGAACTATTTTCTTTAACAATCTCAATTACAAGGTCGTCCTCATACTCCGTCCAGTATGAGCGCCAAAGACATTAAACATCAATACCCCGTCCGGTATGAGCGCCAAACTACTAAGTTTTCATACCATATCCGGTATGAGACTACGTTCACGGTAGGGTTCTCTATGTACCCGATCCGTTTATCATCTCCTAGAATATTTAGTAAGGCTGTTCTTACTATCTGCTTATTTGATCACACAATTTTCTTGTTTTTCCTTAGTCTCCATTATCAAATCAAATATAATCACATAAACAAATAAACATGCATCCGGTAATGCAATCATGTCTCAAATTCTAAAATCAAACAGTGGTCAAGTAAGACAGTAATACATGCATTTAAACCATAAAATAGATAAATCAGATACCATCATGCTTTTAGGCTGTAAAATAAATCAACAGAAAATAATATCCGATTTGGGCTCCATTAGCAATCCGTAATTAATTATGCAAATCTACTTAATTTGTACAAAATACCGTATTATTATTTATTCAAACTTCAATTATATGATAGGAAATAGGGTAAGGGGTCTTTACTTGATTTGACGCCGAAAAGCTAAATGGTTTTCTGTACTACGGGCGGTCCCTAGGTTCCCTGAATTTTTCTGCGGGAACTGAAACGCGCTTATGGTACCTAAAAATGTCTCAAATAAACCCAAAAATCAGTCATATGGACTACTCGGCCAATTTAAAAAATTCGGCACAGCGGCTCTGCCGTACTCCGGTGACGGCACCGCCGCCCAAGATGGCGGTCCGCCTCGGGTCGGCCAAATTCGATCGATTTTACATCGATTCCTGTGAGCACACATGCTAAAGGGCCTCGTTGGGCCAAAAAATACGAAAAATCAAAACTCATCGGCGGTGAGGCTCTCTGTTGCGGTGGCTCTTCCGGCTCACGTTACTGTTGGGTGTTTCGATTCAGTCAACCTGTAGAGAAGAAAAAGGTGATCACAATGGTGAAAAAATTACACAAAATAAGAATCGGGAAGGGTCTCATCGGAGGCGGTTTGTGAAATTCTCCGCGGCGGTGTTTTTCAGCCAATTGGCTGGTTCATTCACTTCGATTTGGCCATGGATGAGTTTAAAATTGAAAAACACCGGGCTTCGGCGGTGTTTTTCGGCCAATTGGCTGGTTCCTTCACTTCGATTTGGCCATGGATGAGTTTAAAATTGAATTTTGTGCAAAAAAAATTTTTTTTAACTTTTTTTAGGGATAAAAAAGGGTTCCGGTGCTGCGGCAGTCGGCTCCCCGGCTGCTGGGTTGTCTTATATGGCGAGGGGTTTTGGCGGCTAGGGTCAGGGTTTGGGTACGGATGAGGTTATTTATACCCATCCACTTTTGATCTGGGCTGTCTATCACTTTTGATCTGAACTGTCCGATCGCGATTAAATAGGAGTGAATCTGGGTCATTCATCGCGATTCAATCTAGGCCGTCCGTACGCGATTTACTCTAGGTTGTCCGTGCGCGTGGAAATGGAGCTCAGCCGTTCGATCACGCGTACGCGGATCGCTCATGTGGCTCCCCCCCATGGTCTCTTGCGTCAGCACCTCTGCCACTTGGCGCGTCCTGATTTGTCGGGGCTGCTGACCGGGCGTCTGACGTAGCGCAAGTTTTTTAAATTGTATTTTGACCCTTGATTTTCTATTTTTATTTCAAAAATATTTCTAAAACTCAAATTTTCACTCATTTTTTTTCAAAATTATTTTCAATTTAATTCTTTATCAATTTACTCAATTTTTTTCATTAAATTAAAATAAAACAAAATGTAATAAAATAAATTAAATAATTAAAAAAATATATTTATTAATAAAAAATAAAAAATAAAAAATAAAAAAAATAATAGGTGGGTGTTACAAAAAATTATAGTTGATCAAAAATGTTTAATCAGTCGTGTTCATCAGTGAACATGAAATTCCAGCAGTGACGTCCTTAGAGTAGCCCGTCCACTCCAATCTGGAAGGGATCTCTAACGGGGTAGGCGCAGTGATTACTAGTATAGATTGCTGCCATATTTTATTAGTTTCCCCTTCTTATTTCTCTCTTCCTAGTTTCCGAAAATATAGTGAGAAGACTTATGCTTTAACTGAACTTATTAACACTAATCGGACCATATGGCTACTCCAAAGAATTTTTTATCGTATTAAAACACAAATCTAAACAATATTGGATGATGTTCATTGGCAAGTGATGTAGTTTATGAAGAAAAATTTTCATATGGTTATATTTAAAATATCATTTGTTATCTACTATACTTGTTTTTTTAACATTCTTTTTTATTTTTAAATCTTTTAGTTTGTATGGTAAATAAAACAAATATATGCATTTGAAAAATCAAAAATATATTATTAATATAAATTATTATAGAATATTTAAAAATACCAATTAAATAGGATCATGAACCACTGCTTAAAGTCATAATTAAGTATTTATGTAACTAATTAATTAATAAATTTGAATTGTATTGATAAGTTGATCGATAAATTTACACCTATTGTAATCACCATATTATTATCTTCTTCATAGCCATTTTATTCTTATAGAGATATGAATAATTGATTGATTTTTTTTCCCCAATAAAATTTAGTTTTTGGAATAATAAATTACAGTTTTCATTAATTTATATAAAACTTATAATACTTTATATCATTGAAGAAATTGGAATATCTTCTTTTTACTTTCACGTGAAGTTCTATTTGAAATTATTTTTATTGTTTAAAAAAAAAATATACTATTTCTAGGAGTATAATTTTACAGATGAATTCTACAAAAATCATATACATATAAAAACAATACAGAAAAATGCCACATGGTATTTTTTATTTCTTGAATAAAATAATGTGTTAATATTAATTATAATTATATATTATATATTGACAAAATTTTAAATATTATTCATTCAAATTTTAAAATATAAAAATAAAATTAATGTCATAATATATGATATCCACTTAAGAAAAAAAAGAGAAGAAATG